GTCACAAGATAACATGAGATCGCTTGGAGCTGCAGTTAAAGATGATTGTGAACCACGGTGTGGGCACTTGGAATCAAACTCTGGTCCTCTGCAAGAGCAACAGTTGCTTTCTACCACAGAGCCTCTCTCTAGTCCTAAGAGAACTAAATTTTATCTTGGGTATAAAAAGAATAAGACTAGCTAGAACCAAATACAAATAGCAAGGCTTAGCTTTTTCTAAAACTTTTTTATTATTGAGAATTTCATGTACACATCCAATGAAATATCATATTTACTCTCATTTTCCCTCCAATTCTTCTTATATTTTCCTAAAAACATATCTTTCACAAACTTCATGAGTTTTTTTTTAAATAACCTAATAACTCCAGTTATTGTTACCCATATATGCATGATAGCAGAGTCATTCATTGGAACATGGGAATCTTACCAGTGGCCACATTCTCACAGAAGAATGAGTCTCCTTTCCAAGTGATCCTCTGACATCTATACTGGTGCTATAGATGAAAACATATGCCTCCTTTCCCATATGGTAAATAAATAAATGCAAAAGAAAAAAAGAGCCAGTCAGTTGATAGGTATGAGGCTCCTCCATATAAGTTTATATTAACACCTATTTTTCCCATTGAAAGCAGTTTAGACAATCTCCATAACCCTTAGGCAGTCTCTGTAATCTGTGGTTTTTATAGCCTGTTGGTTTGTTAGGCTTAGAAGCATATTGAATGGATGACTGGGATTCTTCCTCCTGAAACAGATCTACATATAGAACGAGGCATTGATAAATCACCTTGGAAGGGGTTAGGCCAAAAGCTGTTTGAAGTCTTATGTAGGCTCTTGGTAATAACACCCTTTAGATATACTCAATCTCTGGGCATAATTTTTAAAAACAACTTAATGGTCTGATTAGAATGTTCCACCGTTTTAGAAGAGTAAGGACTCTAAAATGAATGAAGATAGTATTAACTTCCCAGAGATTTAGATAGAAATTGAGTGATTTGGGAAGCAGCTGAAGGCACATTTTTATTTTAAAGAGTACCTGAAAAGCTAAGTGGAGGAGTAATTTCCAGAAAAAGAGCTTCAGATACTTCAGTGACCTTTTCAGGTTGAGGTGGAAAGGTCTTGTGCAAGGAGCACCAAAATGCGGTAAGGGATAGTCAGCTGCCTGTTTGACTGCCGCATCTCCTTTTTTAGTTTCCTAAATGACTTCTTTTTGGTGTGCCTTGTAAAGGACCGCTGCTATTTCAGCCAGCAAATGTATTGTCTCTAATGAACTTAGAATTCGAAATCCATAATCGATGGGATCACTTTTAGCATTAAAATAAAATCTTTTCCCTCCAGAGGGCAGTATGTGCATGTATTACCAAGAAAGGTATTTAGAGGCAGTGTGCATAGTTTCCCTTTTGCTCTGGTTAAGTTGCAGCAAAATTTAAGCCTACTCGTCTAACCAAGTGTGCTGATTTCTGTGGTACCTGAAAGGAGGACAGTAGTAGCGCAGCTGGTTTATTTTTCATTACTCGCATAGGAACTGCTGTTGATGAGCCATATTGCATTTGTGAAATTTAAATAAACCATACTCTGGGGTAGGAAATAAAGTAGAAGAGTTGAGGTGGGACACTGTTGTAAAGATATTTCAAAGTTATCAAGTAGCCAGGCTTGGTAACATAAAAGTATCTAAACCAGTGGGAGATTTGGGATTTAATAGAGAGGTTATTTGATATAAAATATAGACAGTGGAGACCCCAAAGTAAATTTAAGGACTTCTTCTATTATTAAAAGAGTCATGACAGTTACTTTTCTTTTTTCTCTTTTTCTTTTTTTCCCACCTCCCTCCCCCTCTGTCCCCCTCCCTCTTTTGAACCAGAGTGTCTCCACATAGTTCGGAGCCCTAGAACTCATCGTGTAGACTAGGCTGTCCTAGAACTCAGATTCCACGTGCCTCTACCTCCCAAGTGCTAGGATTAAAGGCTGTAGTTAATGTATCCTGTCAACCATTGGGCAACTGAATCAATTTTAATATTTACCCTACAAGTAGATAGATAGCTTTGACCTAGGGCATAATTTGAGAACTCCAGGGTTACACCCTGGTATTTGGTAACATACAGTTTAAAAGATCTGTCAAGTTGTAATAACCTCCAAAGTTACATCCCTGATTAAAGAAGCTTTTAATTTCTCAGAAGACTTCTTTTGTTCTTAGTCCCATGAAAGAGAACTTAGTTGCTTCATTTTAGGGATTCATCTAGAAGCTTATGCATAAAGCTATAACTAGGAATCTAAAGAGTACAGTAACTTGTTAATTTTCCAGAGGCACTAAGCTGCAGTGGTAGGATTTAAGAAAGACCTGAATGGCTCTAATACCATTAAGAGATGGATACCCTAAGCCAAATGATTCCCAGATATAGTTTCTACAATAGTAATGGGGCTTTAGGCTAAGAGATTCCTTATATCCTGTGATCTAGGAAAGTGAAAAGTTTTATTATATGATTTGGGGCCTCAGATGATTTCAGTTTTGTTGAAACCATCCAAAACATTGTAGATAGAAGCTAATGGAACATAGCAAAACATTGTAGATAGAAGCTAATGGAACATAGCGGGCCTTTTTCTTTCCACCAGGAAATCAAGGTGTTGAGCTATCTGTTTCAGTATCATGCATTGTCTTTGAAACCTGTTTTAAATTGACGCTTGCTGATTTTGACTTTCAAATGGAGCAGTTTGTTACCTTTTTTCTTTCTTTTTTTTTTAATTGTTCGACTTTACCAGAGAATATAGTGGGGGTGTAGTGATCATGTGTATTTTTTCTGGAACGTCTTTGAAGACATTGAGCTTGACTTGGGTGTGCTTTGGATGATCAAAAATAGGTGAAACATGTATTCACCTTTTTGCTTTGACTCTGGCTTTGGATGAGATAGAATTTTTTTATTTTTGTTGCAGTTTTCTTGAAAGGGGTCTTCAGATATCTTATTTTTGCTACTTTGTTAGAAAATGTGTGGGGTTTTTTGTAACAAAATGTGCCTCCCAATGTATTGTACATGTCTACATAAATGTCAGAAGTCATTCTGTGATCCTGGTGGTTGAATTTAAGCCATTAGGCTTGGCAGGAATTGACGTTTTACCCGGTAAGCCTTCTCACTACCCCTTCCAGCAAAATTTTGATTAGAGAAAACATAGTATGTATTTTTTATAGTCTTTATACTGTTTATTTTCTTAAGTTTCCCCAGAGCTGAATGAAATACCCATCTTACATCTTAGTATAAGATTATAAAATCTTTCTGCTTACACTATCTTTGTAGTTTTTGCCTGCTTGTAGAATTTTACATTATCTTATGAGGATTGTTACTCAAACACAAAGCAAGTGTTATATGTGTTTTCGAAGCACCTGGTATAACATTCTCCATTCCAGTATTCTACATTGCAAATTCCAGTTGTTCCAGCCTCTCCTAAAACTGTTTCATGTCCCCTGAACTCATTAAACAGCACTGGTCTTTTAGGGTCCTCCCATTTTGTGCAGTGATTCTGAAAGTGTCTCTAAAAAGAAACCTGAATTAATCCTTGAGTTCAGCTTGTTTTCCATCTATGTTTGACAGTTTTCTGACCCTATTTCTGAGACTGATTTGTCCATTTTTATATTGTCTAAAACAGGAAAGCATGTGTATGCCAGTTATTCCAACATAGCTATAATGGCTTATTTTTTTTAAAGTACGAGTTTCTATTAGTACATTTTACAGCTTTATTTGGCAGTGTTATGTGTAAAGTTGGATATCTATCATTATATTTTTGTGTAAGTATTAATAAAGGCAAAATAGTATTTACTATAGAATTATAAAAAGAACGGACAAATAAGTTCTGGACAGATGGCTCAGTCAGTAAAGTACTTAGTGTGAAAACGTGAGGACTCACACAGTCTATAATTCCAGTGTTCAGGGGCAGAGTTAATGAGAATCACATACATGTACATGATCTAACACCCCTCCCAAATTGGTGGGGTAACAACAGTTTGTCAGTAGAGAACTGGTTAACAAAATGTTCATCAGGCTGTTTTATTTTGGTGATAAAGATGAATAAGGTAGATTATCTGTTAAATTATAGTAATGTCCATAATGTATTAAGTTCAAAAACTAGAAGTGTATTCAGTACTTTCCACATCCATGAGTTCCACATCAGCAGACACAACTAACTGTGGCTTAAAAACATGCAGTAGAAAAGAAATTGCATCTATACATGTACAGATTTTTTTTGTTTTCGTTTAAAACAGTACATTGTTAGAGTTACTTACATACTATTTGCATGTTTAGCCAGTGTAAGTAATCTGGAGATGATTTAATGTATATTGGAGGATTGACATAGGTTAGAAAAGCAAATTTTGCTCCATGGCTTTTTGTATGTTGAGGTGAGAGTCCTGGATACAATATTCACTGAAATCCTTAGAAAGACACTATATTGTACAGCTCTTTTTCTTTAAAAAAAAATTAAAGGTAGTAGTATGTTGGTAAATTGAGGAAAAGGTCAGAGGGAAACTTCCGGATTTATTGTTTTGTTTTTCTGCCTTATTTTTCTTTGACATGTGCATTTATAGCATTTAAAAGTAGCAAAATATTTTATTATGCTAAAAGACATTAGGTCCTAGAAATTTAGAGTATTGATCCTTGGAATAGATTTAGAATATTTTTATTTAGCTCTTATTTTCTAATTCACTAAAGTAAAGGTCAGTTGTTAAGAAAACAGAAGAGATTTTAAGTTAGGACTGGGCTAAGTTCTAGTTCTGTCAGTAACCACATTACTTCAGATGAGATAATAACTTATCTTCCAGTAGCTTATTTATACTGGGTCAGGATGTTCTTAGGGAGTACTATGAGAAGTAAATGAGATATGACACATTTGTCAGCCTTGCCTTTTGACGGATTTTTAGCCTTTTCATAGAGTTCTTCAAATGTCAATTTCCTTAGACATGAATTGTATTCTGCAATAGAAATCTTATTGATTTGTTCATTTGTGTATTATGTTCACAGAATGTTTTCAGGAAAGTGAACATCTCAAGGAAAGTCTTAAGTGTTGCTTATTGCATCTCTTTGGAGCCATTGTAGCCGGTGGGCAGGTGAGAACAGTGTTGAAAGTTAATGTATAAGTTGTAGTTAACAGCACAAAAGTCTCTTCATGGATTATTTAATGCATTCTGTCTTTTATAACTTGATGCTTCAGATAACTTTCAAATTTATATTTTATTTAAAACTAAACTTCTTAAAATCTTCCATTAAAATCCTAAGTAACATTAACACTGACAATTAGTATTTCTGGATGAATAGATTAAATGAGTATTGGTATTATAAGTTCCTATTTCTCTTGACTTTTAGTTATTAGATATTATTTTAAAGTATAAAGGAAATCATCTTTATTAGAGGTATGAAGAAATAAAAGTTTAGCCAGTTTGATTTCCAAAGTCATAAATTTATTCACTCTGCTGTCTAGTTGCAATTATTAAATATATTTATACAGCTATATATGTTCCAAAAGTGTTTCTCTGGCAAACTGAATGTAATTGCCTGTTGCCAAAAGGCTAATAATTCAGAGAGAATGTTCTACATGTTTTCTTAAATGATGCATTTTAAGCAAGAGAGTCTTTGTCCTTTTGTACATATTGTGTAGTATACCCATTGTAGAGTTTAGTAAAGACACTTATCAGAATTTTTAAATGTCTAAAATACCTATCATAAAAGAAAAACTACCTTGAAATTCAGTTGTTGAAATGGTAATAAAACAAATTTGTGATGTAATAATATGTGCTTTTGTATGGTCTTGGAATTGAATTTATGACGCCATGCATGATAGAGGCAAACACTCATGCTACAGTCCAGCTCCACTATGGTTCCCCCCACCCCCACCCCAAAAACAGGGTTTCTCTTTGTATAGTTTCTGCTGTCCTGGAACTTGCTCTGTAGACCCAGGCTGGCCTCAAACTCACAGAGATCCACTTGCCTCTGCCTCCCGAGTCATGGGATTAAAGGTATGCTCCACCATGGCCTGGCTCTCCAAATATGGCTTTTTATAATTCATAAAACAACAGGATACAGCAGTGAGTCAGTCACAGTGCTACCAAGCTTTAGTCAGAACAGTGCAGGAGGTTGAGACAGGATTCCTTGAGCCAAGGAATTTGGAAGAACAGCATACATAACCTAGGAAGAACTTAGTTTGATAGGCTGTAAAGGATCTTGCTATGTTGTAACAACTATAACATATGAAAGTGCACATTTTTATTGGGGGCAGAATCACAAGTATTACATTGCTGTGTTTTGTTGCTTACATTGGAATTTAAATAAAATACTGTATTTCCACTACTGAAATTTTCTCCCTATCTTTTCTATTTTTGTTTCTATTATATTATCATAGTTTTCAATTAGTAATCTTCACATCCAGTGCATATTCACTCCTGTCGCTTTTAGATTTCTGCTAGAATTTCATTCTCTAGTTTATTTATCCTGTTCCCTTTTTAGAATCCAGTGTCACTATTTAAGGCTTCCTGGTAGGTTTTGTGCACTTCTCTTGATTCTGGTGGAAGATAACAGTCTTTCTAAGATGAAAGAAGCAGTGGTTTAGATCTTGCTTTCTGATTGTTTTTCTGAGACAAGGTTTCTCTGTGTAGCCCTGACTGTCCTGGAACACGTTCTGTAGACCAGGCTGACCTTGAACTCAGTATCCTCCTGCCTCGCTTCCAGAGTGCTGTGATTAAAAGGGTGTGCCATCTTTGCTCAACCTTACTTTCTGTTTTAAGTTCGCTTCATCACTTTGTTTCATTTGCTGCTTTTCTTCTTTTGGATCATTGCCTTACAGTTTTTATCAATTTTTTTTTACTGTTGTGAATAGGAATTGACAGATATATAAACATGAAAAAAATAGGAATGGTGTTGTTGACTGAGGGGGAAGCCTACATGGGTCTCATTCATCTCTGAGTACCTAGAGACATATTCTTGTTAGTACTCAATCATGGGTTATGAACCTCAAGGATAATTCTGTAATGAACTGTTGCCATGAAAAATAAAATAGGTACCTGAGACTCGATTTATTATGTTATGTGCTACTCAGAATCTTTGTGATCAGACCATAGTCAGTTTGACTTACAGAAGTCAGAAGGTTGCTTGCTGGTTGTTGGGTCAGGACAAGTTGGTTGAGTATTTGATGGCTCTTATTAAAGGAAAAGAAAAAGTCTGATAATGGGTCTTTCCCAAAGTGTTGTACTTGAATTGTTCACTGACATATTTGTATTTTAGATCTGTAAATACACATAAGAGAGTCTGTTGTGTTTTGTTAAGTGCAAGGATGCTAGGGTTGACCTAGGTTTGAAACGAGTCTGTCTCACAGAGGTTGAACTCAAATTGTCTTTAGGTTACATACTTATAATGTGGAAGCAGTGATATTTACAGGATATATATAAGGACTAAAGGACACATGCTCTTGGTAAAACAATGAGCAAAAGTGGTCTGTGCTTGTAGAAATGAAGGAGGTTAGAATTGTATCTGATTTATTATTTGCTGTATAATAATAAAATAATCTAAGCTTAATTTAGTTTATGTTTGTCTCCTAATCAAAAACTGCAGTTGTGGAGTTGGAAATGTAGCTTAGTGATACAGCATACACTTAGCATGTGGTGGCCCTGGGTTTAGTCCCTAACACTTGAGGGAAAAGAAAGAAAATAAGAAGTTAGTAAACAGTTCAGGCTCTTCAGAGACTCTTGATTCCTTCTGAACATCAGTTTGTTAGTAGCTGCTGGTGTTTTGACCATAATGTCAGACATCTGGAGCACAAAAATGGGGTTATGACAGAGATACTGACATAAATAAATTCTTTTCAGGAGATAATGATCTCTCATTTCTTCATCCTCCCTTCTCCCTTCCCTCTCCCTTCTCTTCTTAGACACATCTCACTATGTAGCCCTGGCTGGTTTGGAACTCACTTTGTACTCATCAGATCTGCATGCCTCTGCCTCTCAGGTGCTGGAACTAGAGATGTGCAACACTGCATCTGCTCAGTCCCGTGTCTCATTTACCAAACTTGGGCATTGTCATGTAAAAGGGCCAAATGTGTCCAGATGATAAAATTCATTTCCTGGACCTTCTTATCAGCAGGGGAAATAGGCAGTATGATCTGTATTGTTGGTAGCCATGTATCCAGGAAAACATCATGGGTTCTAATAGTAAAGATTTTTTAGGGGAGATCAAATATTGGTTAATGCCATCAGTACTTTCTTCCATAATATTATCTATTGTTAATATTATTATTGGTAATAGTAAGACTAAGTGACCTATGGACTGTTATTGCATAATTATGTTCATTACATATTGTTTTTTTCCTGCATTATTGGACAGTGAGCCTAGGACTTCACATGTGTCAGACATTGCTATAGCACTGAACTGTATACACTTCTCCTTTCTTTTACAATTAAATTTTGGGACAGGGTCTCACTAAATTGTCTATGTTAGTCTAAAACTTACTTTGTAGCCCAAGCAAGGTTTGAACTTATTGGTTCTCTTGCCTTAACTTCCCCAAGTAGCAGGGATTATAGACCTGTGATATAGCAACTACTTAACGTAAGGAGTTTCAGAAATATTTGTAAAATTAGTCATAAATGTGTCAGTTATTTTACAAACCTAAGTCATTTGGAGTGGACTTAGTTCTATAACATAAAATCTAGTAACACTGATGTTTTAAATTTAGTTAAGAAATTTAAATGTATGCAATGTATTGGTGGAAGTTTCTGTCTGCCTGGTTCTGAAATCACACAGAAACTATATTATTTAAATCATTGCTTGGCTAATGTTTTAAGTGCATTGCTAGCTAGCTCTTCTGCCTTTGGCTAACCCATTTCTCTGTTAATCACCACGTGACTCTGGCTTACTGACAAGGTTCTATCACATCTGTCTCTGGCAGTGGCTACATGGCATCTTGCAACTCTGCCTTTCTCCCAGCAGGTTAGTTTTCCGTGCCTACCTCTGTTCTGCCCTATCACAGGCAAAAGCAACATGTAGAAGGACTTCCCACACTGTAACATGAGGGGGCCTGCTTGTTAGGGTATCTGTCCCGCCCAGTACCCCACAGCCGGCAAGCCCCAAAGAAAATCACACAGAGATCTCCATAAGTTATAAAACTGATTGACCCATTAGCTCAGGCTTCTTATTAGCTCTTGTAACTTATATTAGCCCATTAATCTTATCTATGTTAGCCACATGGCTCAGTACCTTTTCCAGCGGGGCACGTTACATCTTGCTTCTTGGTGGTCTGGGCAGGAATGGGAGGAATGGGCTTCCTTCTTCTGAGAATTCTCTTATTCTCTTTGCTCCACCTCTACTTCCTGTCTGGTTTTCCTGCCTATACTTCCTGCCTGGCCAATCAGCATTTATTTAAAGCATGATTGATAGAATACAGACAATAATCCTGTACCACCACATCATTTCCCCTTTTCTATTTAAATAAAAAGGAAGGTTTTAAATTTAACATAGTAAAATTACTTAAAACAAAACAGGTATCAAGCAAGAATTATAGCTACAATACTTACATCTACTTTATCATAACTAAGGAAAACTATATCTGTTCTTCAACTCCATCGGAGACTCCAGAAGGATATAATATTACTAAGTTAACAGGAAGTGCATTGTAAGCTACTTTCAAATCTCTAGAAATGACAAAGACATCTCTCTGTGTGGACAGTCACCCACAGATCTTCTGTATCATTTGAGCATCCATCTTCAGCCCATACTACTGGCCTATAGTATCCAGCAGACTGGATTTCCATGAAGCAGGAAATTTCAAAGACAGTTCTGCCTATATTGTCTGTTTGTCAGTCACTTTTTTATGTGTCCTGCAGAATGTTTGGCAGACTCTTTCATGAAGCAGGGATCCTGAAGGACTGTCTCACCTTCTTTAGGCAGTTATAGCAGTCATTTTTCTGAGTATCTTGCAAGTCCATTCAAACAGTTAAGGAAAGAACAATTTATTGCCCAAATGGCTAACGAGCTCCACGAGGAGCCTCTTTGATGCCCATCATCTTCTTGAAGTAGCTTGGTGCTTCCAAGAGCAGATGTATTTCACTGCCATGAAAAATCCTAAGTTCTTAAAACATTTTAAATGTCATATTCTGTAGGACTTTGAAAGGTTTGAAGAATGACTATCTATCCGAAATGTATCTCTGTACATCTAGAAAATCTAACTAACATAACTACAAGCTTGACTATTACAGATGCTTATTTTTTAACCTATATTTTTAAATTATATGTTACATTTTTAATGAGCTGCACAAACATGAGACCTTTATCAAAATCAGAAATATATAGTATACAGTATAACAACATTGACCTTAAATTTATATCAATAAACCAAGTTCCATACCAATGAAAATCTCTATAGCATATCCTCCTTTAAATGTAAACAAATATTTATAAACAATATTTAGGAATTTGGGCATAGTTCTCTCCAAACTGCTTCCTGCTTTTTGTTGGGCAAAGTATTTTGGGGGGTATTAATGGCATCCTTTCAGGGAGGTCTTGGTCCATCAGACCACATTAGTCTAGAAGAAATCCATAGGTTCTCATCCTCTGTGGAAGCAAGTAGAACCTCTTTTCCAAAGCATTATATCCTTAGATCCATATTTTGAAATCAAGATACCTTTAAAGTATGTATGTTGGTTTATCTTAGCAGCCTGTACAATGAAATGTCACTCTGTACTTAGCTCCTTCACAGTCAAAAAATTTAAAGAAAACACAATAGTATACATAATCCAGATTTTTGTGTATATTTCATCATTATGTGGCTTATTTTTCTTACTCTATTTTTTCTACGAGTTTACTTTGTCTCTTTTTTTTAAAGTAATTTTATTAAATTATAAAAAGTTTCCATTTACGCCCCTCCTCCCAACGCCCTCCCACTCCCCCCTCCCTCTCCTCCTCCCTCTTTGTCCCCAAGGGCAGTCAGGGTCTCCTGCCCTGTGGGAAGTCCAAGTTCCTCCCCCCTCCCTCCAGGTCCAGGAAGGTGAGCATCCAAACAGACTGGATCCCAAAACTCCAGTATATCCAGAGGAAACCAGTCCCAGTGTCATTGTCAATGGCTTCATTTTATTTTTTAAAACGATTTACTTTCTTTTATAACTGTCTATATTCTTTTTCTTCTCTGTCCCAAACCTATGTACATTTTTCTAGCACTGTGACCCATTTACAGGTCTTTTTTATTATCTGAATCTGTCTTTATTGCATATCTGTAATTATTTTCTGACCAGAAGCCCCTTCCCCCCCTTTTTTAAATGCTAAGTGGGCATAGCTAGAGCCAATGCTTAACCTTTTGATTCAACCCAGTCCAACGTGGTGGAGGTCCATTCACTGCCTCTGAGACTGCCGGGTGGGAGCCACACTCACCACTTCAACTCTGGTAGCCTGTTGGCCCATGCTTCCACCAAGTAACTTACAGCACACTAGCAGCCCACAAACCCCATTCAAGTGCTCAGCCTCCTAAAAGAGCCAGAGTTCATGCTGGCAGCATGAACAAACCAGGAAGCTGCCATTTCAAAACCACACTTTTTTTTTCTGCTACCACTGAATCAGGAAGACCTCTTTTAAAGAAGCTGCGTAGAATTTCTTCCCAAACTTTCTTGTGTTTTAAGTAGATTTAGTTGGCCACGTTGGCCTCAATTTGTTGGTGGAGACCATTTGTTTGTTCCCAACTGCCCAGACAATGAAATAATCACTTAGAAGCTATATTATTTAAATCACTGCTTCTCCAATCACTTAAGCGTATTGATAGCTAGCTTTTATATCTTTGGTTAACCCGTTTCTATTATTTTATATTTTACTATGAGGCTTTTGGCCTACCTGTAAGGTTCTGGCTGATGTCTTGCATCTTTCTCCTCTGGCAGCTCCATGGTATCTCCCTGACTCCGCCTACTCTCTCTATATACCTCTTTCAATTTGGCTTTACTCTATTAAGCCATTGACCAAAAGCAGCTTCTTTATTAGCCAATAAAAGCAACACAGAAGGACTTCTCACATCAGCAATGGGCTAAGACCCTTAGTGTGTCCTATTTTACTTTCTGTACACTGCCTACAATTTAATTTTGGGTTGTATCTTTTTTAATATAAGGTGGTTCTAAGCATTGTGTCTGCTCTCCAGGATGGAAAAGGAAAGAAAGAAACCCCTTTCCGTTTATAAAGAAATAGCTCTTTTATAGTCTTTGTCTTCTGTTTTTTTGAGCAAAACCTTATCTTACATGGTGTCTTTTAGCTGCAAAGAAGGTGAAGTTGAACTTCAGATTAGTAGTGAACAAAATAAGGCTTAGATACAAGTAACATTTGCAGTGTTTATCAAATATATTTGTTAATAACTTTGTTAATTTATTTAAAAGAAAAAATTACCCATAGGCTCACTAATTCTTTGTTATTGCAAATATGTAAAACCTTTAGATTTCATTTCATCTTTTACTGTTTTTAATGTTTCAGAGGAATGCTTTGCAAGCTATTTCTCCAGCCACCATGGAAGTTCTCATGCGGGTTTTGTCTGATTGTGATTCATGGGAGGAAGGAGATCCTGAGGAAGTGAGTAGGAAGAGAGAACTAACTCTGAAATGCCTGACACAAGTGGTACATATCCTTCTTACTAGCAGTTCTGACCAGCGTCAGGTGGAAACCAGTACGGTACTGGAGAACTATTTTAAATTGCTCAACTCAGATCACTCAGCTTTACCCAAACAGAGGAAGTCCATGCGGTGGGAAAACCAGTTCATAGCTCTGCAGATTAAGATGCTCAGTAAGTATTCAATAAAGATTTCCCTCAGTTCATTTTTGCTTTTTTATTCTCAGTTTCTTTTGAGATGCAGTCTGCTGTATTAAAAATATTGACTGTTTTGTTTAAGTAATGTGTATTTATATTTTTGACTTCCAAATGATTAGTATGGAATTGATTTATTTATATTTTTATTTTATCATTTTTACATTTTTACTGTCTATTCTTTTTTGGAAGTATAATCCAATAAAGTGTGTCTGTTAAAAAGAAAGTTATGACTAAAATTGCCAGGAAGAAGAATTTTTTGAAGATATTATTTATATTATATCCTTTTACTTATGATAAAAATTAACTAAATAAATGCCTCTCTAACATTTCTATTCTCTAGAACAGAAAATCTAGTTGTCACAGAGAACCCCTGTGTCCTTGTTTTTTTCTTCTCTTTGTGTTGGTTGTTTTGTGTCTCTGTGCAACTATATCTGGTCTCTGTACTTTACAAACTCCCTAATCAGTTTATATGATGTTTTTTCTTCAAAATGAAGGTTATTTGTTTTTTTTTTTGTTTTGGTTACAGTGTATTAGTATAGTATATTCTTTGTATCAATTGTTTCAGTCAATAAGTGACTCATACTCATTATTCCCTTCTAATGGAGTCAGATACTCAGTAATTTTTCTGAAGTATCTTAGCTCCTACTGAGTAGAACTGGCATGGAAAGGCCAAGACTCTGATCCTACAGGCCCATTCTCTATGAGTCACCAGCTTTGTGATCCATGGCAAAAAGTAGTGATGCTGCAAGTGCATTCCAGACTCCAGAATTGATAGTAAACATATCAGTTGATCATTCCTTATTTTTTTTTATTGTTCATCTAAATCCCCTTTGATAGTTTTATATATATATATATATTTTAAGTATTTGGAAATGCCAATAACTACTATATAACCTAATACAAAAACAAATGTTTCCTTTTATATTAGTAATTTTTTTTAAAGATTTATTTATTATGTATACACTGTTTTGCCTGCATGTATCCCTGCAGGCCAGACGAGGGCAGTAGACCTCACTATGGATGATTATGTTGTTGCTGAGAATTGAACTCAGGACCTTTGGAAGAGAAGTAACCAGTGCTCTTAACTGCTGAATCATCTCTCCAGCTATTTTTTGATAGTAATTATAAGTTGTAAATTTAAAAATTAGTTTGATTCTCTATTGGATGGAATTCTTTTGTTGTTGTTGTTGTTAGGAACTATGATATTTGCCATGCCAGATATCCTTTGATTTTTCAAATGTATTATCTCCACAGTAGGAACTGAGAGATAAATAGTATGTTTTCATAGGCCATATAGTCATATCATAGTGTTTAAACATTACTACTAAATAACATAAACAGATATTGCTTATTTTTTTAAAGATTTATTTATTTATTATGTTTATATACATGCCTGAAGAGGGCACCAAATCTCATTATAGATGGTTGTGAGCTACCATATGGTTGCTGGGAATTGAACATTTGGAAGAGCAACCAGTGATCTTAACCTCCGAGCCATCTCTCCAACCCCCAGATATTGCTTATTAATAGCAAATCAGACACAGGATGAGTTTTATGAAAGAACAAATAAGCAGTTTGCTAAAAAATATTTGCCAGTCATATTTACAATTTAAACTAGCTTGAACTATAAAGTATGAAAATGTTCACTTTTCTTTACAACTTTTTGTTTTCTGTTCCCTATCTACATAATTTCCCAGTTAGTTTGCATCTGTTCTGCCAACTGAAAAGCCTAACTTTAAAATGATGACGATACATGTTTGATCCCAAATTTTTACTTTTACATGAGTCATTTTTGTTTTTAATTTATAGATACCATCACAGCCATGTTAGACTGCGCAGACAGGCCTGTTCTTCAGGCCATTTTCCTTAACAGTAATTGCTTTGAACATCTCATACGACTTCTACAGAACTGCAAGGTACTTTATTATTAACTTTTTATATTTATGAACATTTGTTTGTTTGCCTATTTACTTATTTGTGTGCGGGGACGTGTGCTACAGCATAAATGTGGAGGTCAGAGGACAACTTGTGGGAGTTGGTTCTGTTTTAGCATGTAGGACTTAGGGATTAAACTCAGGTTGTCAGGCTTGGCAGCAATGCCTCATCCTCCTAAGCCATCTTGTTGGCATTATTTATGACTTTTTAAAATGTTATTGTTTTAGTTGGGCATGCCTTTGATCTCAGTGCTTAGGAGACAGAGGCAGGTAGATCTCTGGGAGTTTGAGGCCAGACTGGTCTGTGTAGTGAGTTCTAGGACAACCAGGGCTACATAGTGAGACCCTGTCTCAAAAAAATCAAAAAACAATAACAAAGATTTCTTTTGATTCAGATTTGAGCATGCCATTGCAGACAATTTTTTATCAATTTGTGTTTACATTTTATTATATTGCCAAGTTTTATCTTTTTTGCCAGATAAACTGATTTAATTATCATTATAAAACTATATTAGCATATGTACTATATTATATATTATATTATATAATATTATAATATAATATTATATAGCTAGACTATATTAGCATATGTACATATATACTCACCCCATCTTAGGGGTGAGAAAAGTGAGGCACAAAGATTTATACCCTGTCCAGGATCTCAGACGCAGTGAGAGACAGAAGTAGGACTCCAGCCCAGGCTGTCCTCTCTGATGGTGTGTAAGTATCAATGGGTACTCTGCCTCTCACGCTCTCACTAACTCAGCCTAAGCTAGGATGAGGGCAGCCGCATTCAGTTCATACATTTTGCTCTTGGAATTAGGCAAATATTTAAATCCTCCAAGCTCAGAAAAACCTATTAAAGCAATCTACTCACTGTCTACATGGGGACAGGTTTTTTTTCTTAATTTCTTAATATTCACATGAGCTTTACTGCCTTCAGACAATAAATTGAAGTAGTAAATGAAGTAGTAAAGCTCATGTGAATATTTGTGTATGATATTTTAGTTTAGGAAATATTTTATTTTCCAACAGACATTGATACAGACATTTATATTTAGGACCATTTAAAGTCATGGACTACTGATTTCTTGATTCACTATTTCTCTAGAACATACAGATACAGTCAAGGTCCTCATGCTGTATGGCAAGCATTTGTATTCACTGAGTCATCTTCCCAGCCTCTTTTTTTTTTTTTCTTATCAGAAACTTTTTTTTTTTTTTTTTGAGACAGGCTTCAAATCACAGGCATCCACCTGCCTCTGCCTCCCAAGAGCTGGGATTAAAGGCATGGACCATCACTGCCCAGCTTCAGATAACACTTTGAAGTTTTATAAATGGAATTTTATTTTTTGTAGAATTCCTAGTCATAGGGCATAGACTAGACCCAAATGTTTTAAAAGCCGGAGAATTTGTATTAAAAAACTGCAACTAAGTAGAAAATATAGAGAGCTAGAAAAATAATAGGAACACTTTTAAGGCTCATGGTACATGTTGTTAGTTTGCTTTTTCACTGTTGCTGTGATTTACCCGTTTATACTTGTAACAGCAGTTTGAGAGAGTGAGTGCACAACAAATAATGTTTTTGCCCTTCATATTGTATGCCCATGGATTTAAGATGTTATCAAAAGTTTTTAGAAAGGTTGGAAATGAAACTACTCCATAGATCTTATATCTTTCTATTAATTTTTATACTTCCTAGTTGAAAACACTTGGTTGATTCTAATATTATTCCTCAGTAAGGATTTTTGTTTTTCTCACTGTAAAAAGCTATATCTTTGAAATTTTTAAATATTACTTCATTTCTTACTTTATAATAGTAATATGTTGCAAAAGGAGCAGCGGGCTGCACTCCCGCCAGGATTCCAGCTCCCCTGCTAGTTTATACCCGAAATAATTATACGGAAACTGTATTCATTTAAACCCTGCCTGGCGCATTATCTCCAGCGTCTTATTGGCTAACTCTCACATCTTGACTGACCCATTTCTAATAATCTGTATGTCACCACAAAGTCGTGACTTACTGGCATGAGTCTAGTCAGCGTCCGTCTCAGGAAGGGGAATCGTGGAGTCGGCCTGACTCTGCTTTCTTTCTCCCAGCATTCTGTTCAGTCTACTCCACCTATCTGAATCCTGCCCTATCAAAAAGCCAAAGCAGTTTCTTTATTAACCAATGAAAATAACACATAGACAGAAGACCCACCTACATAAATAATATAGTTAAATAGGACAGAAAATGCATTTAATATATTGATGAAGCCTGTAATAATAAAAATTTCAGAAGTTGTCAAAAACTCCTGATTTCTGGTTAGTCAGCATGTCTTACCTCCTGTCTTTTTTTAAAAACCTCATGTCTTTTAAATATTCTTTATGTGAAAAATATCATAGAGAGATGAAAATTCACAGCAGAAATATTTATAAAATACTTTTATTATAAAGACAGTATGACTTTCTCACTTAGGAAGATATCATTAGTAACAAAGTTATCTCGTGTATTATTAAAAAAAACTGGATTTAGCAGGTGTTGGTGGCTCATGCCTTTAATCCCTACACCCTTACCCTGAAATTTGTCAAGATGGACTTCTCTTTAGTATATAAATAAGTCTAGTATGAAATGTTTTTTTAAAAAAAAATAGTTTTTTTTTTCTCATAGCTAACCAGAGTGATGCCTAAAAGTTACATGTTACAGGGTGTTACAGTCCAAGAAATACATCTTTAGGATGGACATCACCAAGTGTACTTGTTCAAACTAAGATAGATATAACTCACCAAGTGATAGAATCTTATAGAATCACTATCAAATAGCGATCTGTCATTTACCAAAACGTCATCATAATAGCACATGACTATACTTGTTCCACTACAGCCAAGTTTCATAGTTATAGCTCTTGTACTTGTTTTTTAGGTAGGGCCTCACTCTATAACCTGGGCTTCCCTCAAACTTACTGTGGGACTGTCTTTGAAGTTCACAGCAATCCACCTGCCTCAGCTTTTTAAAAAAGTTAAATATTTCATGTCACTTACTACATTTTTCTTTGAATCTGAAAATACCAAAGAAGAAATTATTTTCAGAAGGGACAGCCAGGCGTTTGGACACATCCCTTTCCTTACAGTAGTTTTCTCCATTTGGGATTCATGTAGTATTTATGACCATATATGCTGTTTGATCATGTTTACCCATTCCTCTGCCCTTGCCGCCAACACCCCCACATCCTTCTGAATTCTTAGCAGATCCTCTTCTACTTGAATCAATTGGGTTTTTTTTTGTTTTTTTTCCATATATGAGAGAACATGTGGCACTTGTCTATGTCTTTCGTATTATATTTCATTCACTTTGTTTCAGGTGACAGAATTTAAATTTTATTTTTTTCCTTTAGTCAACATTAATACCACATTATATGGTGTACTATATTTTCTTTGCCCATTTGATGGTTGACATGCTTCTGGGCTGATTATTTCTCCTAACTGTTGTACATAGTCCAGCAGTGTAAGAGGCATGCAAGTGTCCTTTGTTCATTGATCTTATTTCCTTAGATATATACCAAGGAGTGGGAGAACTGGATATAACAGTTCTGTTCTTCGTTTTCTGAGATATGTCCATACTATTTCCCTTTAGACTGTGCTAATTAATATTCCTACCAGAAACGTAAGGGTTCCAACACCCAACATTAAAGAAATTTCGCCATTCAGGCAGTAATTGTTTCAAATATTAAAATTAAATCTTTAAAATAAATTTTCAAATTTATTCATTATAGAAGTGAAGAAATAATGCCCTGAGTTGTTAAATTACTAGCTCTTGGTCAATACTAATAACTGTTGGAACTAGGATTTTTATACTAACGTTTTCTGACTTTAAATTCATTATAATATATAGTTACTACAAATTTGTTTCTCATTCAGGATTATTGATTTTTAACTAGTATCAAATATTGACTGTGTATTAAATATAAGATAATTATAAGTTTGGGGGGTTTTTTGGAATTTTTGTTGTTGTTTGGTTTGGTTTGGTTTTTCAAGACAGGGTTTAATTGTATAACAATTTCACTGTCCAGGAACTCGCTTTGTAGATCATGCAGGCCTTGAACTTAGAGAGATTCACCTATCCTGAGTGCTGGGATTAAAGATGTGTGCCACCACTGCCTGGTGACAATTATAGTGTTTATTGATATAACATCTTATGAACATAGTTAGTATTTCTGAATATACACTTGGAATGTTGTAAAAATTTAAGCTCCAAAATGAATTGTATATTTCTTTCTGTATCATTTTGTTGTTGCTTTTAATAAACAAATCATTTAGTCTGTTTTATGCAGTAATGCAGAATCAGGATGATTTTACTGTTTAAACATCAATACTTAATGGAAATACTCCAATTAAAGCTGAAATAGCAAAAGTAATTTATGCATTGATAGAAAATTTTAGACTAACTGTTGGTAGTTTTTCTTTGAAAACTTATTGTGTATATGTGTGTGTGCACTTATGCATGTGTGTGTGTGTATGTGTGTGTGTGTGTTTATCTGCATGATGTAAATGTGTGTACATATCCCAAAATATGCATCTGAAGAACAGATAACATGTGGGAATGGAACTTAGGTTGTTCCATCCAGCAAGTACTTTTTACATACTGAGCCACTTGTTGACCTATACTGTTGGTAGCTTCTTTGGCATCTTTGTGTATGGTAGTCACCAATTTAAATATGTGTTCATTTCCCAAGAACCTGTATAAAGGCCTTTGTATTTGGCATCTAAGTTTCATTATAATATAAACTTCTTGTATATGTGTAAAATACATACTTTTTTAACTATTTATTTATTATGTACACAGTGTTCAGTCTCTATGTATGCCTTCAGGCCAGAAGAGGGCACCAGATCTCATTACAGATGGTTGTGAGCCACCGTGTGGTTGCTGGGAATTGAACTCAGGACCTCTGGAAGAGCAGTCAGTGCTCTTAACCTCTGAGCCATCTCTCCAGCACCCTCATACATATTGCATGATATCATATATTAGACTTTTATGGGTAGATGTGATGAATGTTGAATATTTTGTTAATTCTTTTAGTTTTGTACAATGCATTTTGATAATACAATGATATTTTAACTATAAGAAAAAAACAACCTGTCATTAGTAATAGAAAGGATTTAAAACCCTCATCTTGGCTGAAATCTTGTGCTTTCTTTGTCTTAAATTAGAGTTATACTTTCTATTTTAAGACCAAGAACTTTAACAGTATTCTGTGGGCTACGCAGTGATGGTGAATGCCTTTAATCCCACACTCTGTTGGCAGAGTTCAGGGCCAGCCTGGTCTACAGAGTGAGTTCCAGGACAGCCAGGGCTACATAGAAAAACCTTGTCTCGAAAAACAAAAACAAACAAGCAAATTCTTTGTGCAGGCTGGTGTGTTAGCTTCTGTTTTGTGATAGTAAGGATCAGACTTGGGGGCCTTTGTCTGTTAGGGTTGTGCTTTACTAGTGAGTTATATACCTGACCCTGGATACTACTTAATTCTACTTTTGTTTGTCTGAGCATCACCATTCCTTTACACTTCAGTAATAAAGAAATTAATATCATATATAATTTTCCTTCTAATATTGGCTTTCATTTTTGAAATCCCTATTGTTTGGTAGACATGTAAATAAACTACTATAGATTATATATTGTTTAACCTCAGAATTATTTGATAGGATAGTCCCATTTTAGATAAATAAGCTTGTATAAGTAGCAAAGAACTAAGGATCTAATTCATTTATAGAGCACCTTCCTAAGTACGCATAAGGCCCTAACTTTGAGCTTTAGCACAACGCATACACACTCTTAATGATACTAAGGATCATTTAGAGATTTTGCCAGGTTAGGTAGTACAAATTCAACTCAAGCACTCAAGAAGTTGAATAAAACCAAGATGCAAATCAAGGTCCCTGTGTCCAAAGCCTGTTACTGCATTAAGCTTTACACACACTCTTGCATCCAGTAGTAGGTTACACTACTGCCCGATTTATAATCCATCATTTATACATGTAACTTAACTTTTTCCATTTTCTGAAATACATAATTTCCTAAGAAATTACTTATTAGGATGCTGTTAATTTCTTTATAAACCTTTCTCTCCATTTCACTTTCATTTGAAGTTTCTTTCTCCCCATTGAGTTGACAGAAGCCAAAATCTTTTTGGATGCTGAGTTAATACACTAAAAGTAAAGTACTTAATGCCTTTGATTCATGTAAAAGAGAATAGTCGTGAGCCAGTGGTACAGCTCATTTGGTAAAGGGATTTGTCACTAAAGTGACAAGTGTTAGATCTGTGTTTGACCCATTTACTAGAGTTTGATCTGTGGAACTCATGTAAAGGTGTAAGGAGAGAACTTTTTCCCTAAAGTTGTCCTTTGACTTCCACTTGTGCACTGTGGCATATGCCCCCTTCCTTTTATGCTCACACATATATGCATCCACTATAATGATAAGTTTTTAAAAATCTTAAAGCACGGAACTGGAGAGATGGCTCAGAAGTTAGGAGCATTGGTTGCTCTTTCAGAGGTCCTAAGTTCAATGCCCAGCAATGACATGATGGCTCACAACCATCTTTAATGAGATTTGGTGCCTTGCAGGGAGAGATCCATGCAGGCAGAACTCTGTACACATAATCAGTCAATCAATCAATCAATCTATCTATCTATCTTTTAGAAAAACTTAAAGCATACCATGTGTGCTAGAGAGTTCCCCAGTTTCCTTTCAAGACTACAAAGTAAAATATGAAGTAGGTTCAGGTGAAGAATATTTTTTAACAAGATGTGAGGTCAGATAAACTTGGTCAGTCAGTGCATCCTTTGTCAAGCTATATATTAGTCTTTTTGAGACTCTGAGGAGTATTTTTGGAAAGAGTTCCTTTTAATGTTAGCTTAGTAGGATTTTATAAACTTACTCAGCTAAACAGATCATTATTTACTGTAGTATCTTTTATCTATCTCAGTAGCAGTTTACTTTTCTGAGTGCCATTCTTTGTTGTTTCTTTAATAATTTGGGAATATTAATCTATTGTTAGTTCTTACTGTGAGTTCTAAAGGAGAATCATATCTACAGCCATTATATACTGTGTAAACTGCTATAAAATTGTTATTCAGAAAGCAGTTATTTCTGGAAGAGATGTACTTCATATGTGGATTCTTCAATTAGTTTTCAAGAGACATGAAATTCCAGTTGGACCTCATTCTTCTTTTAGGTTACAATTTAATGTTCTTTTTCCATTATTCTTGTCTCTGTTTTTAACAGCTATTTTTAAATGCTCACAGTATGGTGGCAGACAAGAACGAGAAAGACCTTGCCAACCAATTACTGACAGAGATAAGTGAGGACCAGGTATCTACAAAGCCTGCATCTTGTTTCAACTGAAGTTCAGAATCAGTCAATGGGCTAACTATTCCTGTCCTTTTCTTCTTATTTTTCCAAAAAAAAAAAAAAACACCCACCTCTGATTCTAGTAATTATTTATTTTTGAGAATTATTAAAATTTAAAGATAAACTCTTATTACAATTCTATCGGTGTTAATGTGTGCCTTTTTTCAATTTGGGAAAATAAAAAGTACAGGAATGGAACCCAGTATCACTGTTGACCCACCTGGTGATGACTTTGTTTGAGGGGCTTCTTTTTCTAAGCACTGTGGTATATTGGGACATGAGGGCCTTGTTTCTGAATATGCACAGTCATTGTCAATGTCTTGATTCTTCTCATCTTATCGACATAATGATTATAATTTAATGGACAACCTGAATCTTGGAGGAAGGGAAGAAGATGATGAGCCCTTTGAATATTAATTTAGCATACAATTTTATTTTTGTTCTCAAAATTCAACTGTATATTGGAATATCAAAATATATTTGGTAAATTAATTTGGGAAAAACCAAAAACCTACCTGTAAATTTGCTTTTTTTTCCCTCAACATAGTTTGCTAGAGAATTTATATATCTTTTGTTAAAATTATTTCAATTGGTGTAGGAGTTCCTTCTGTTTGTGTGTTGCTTTCATTGGTTAATGAATAAAGAAACTGCCTTGGCCTAGTTGATAGGGTGGAACTTAGGTAGACAAAGAAGACAAAACTGAATGCTGAGAGAAAGGAGGCAGAGTCAGGGAGAAGCCATGGTCCTCTGCTGGAGATGGATGCTGGTTAGAATCTCTGGTAAGCCACTGCCACATGGCAATACACAGATTAATGGTGATGGCTTAAACTAATATGTAAGAGTCAGCCAATAAGAAGTTAGAGCTAATGGCCAAGCAGTGTTTTAATTAATACAGTTTCTGTGTGGTTAATTCGAGTGTAAGCTGGCCGGACGGCCAGGACAAACAAACAGCCCACTCTCTGCAACATTTAATGTTAGGTTTACTGAGTTGTAGAAAAAAAGTATTGTAATCTGTTAATTTCTATTTTTGGGTGTAAAATAGAGATTCACAGAGCTCTTTATTGCTTAAGATTCTTCCTATTTATACTCTCTTAAGGGCTTCTTATATATTATAATTTCGTACAAAAGATTATGGTAATTTAAAAGGTAGCTATGATGAGGTCTTTTTAGTTTATTCTTGAACAAAGTCCACCACAGATCTTATTCATATGAATCTTTTGTATACAGAATTTATATTTAAAGTGTACTACATGTGTTTTTCTTGGGCAATAATATTTGACAACAATACCAATGAAAGTCAGAACTCAAGATTAAGTACCACACAAAAACGTAATAGAACTTAGTAAACCTAAAGAGCTAAAGGGTTTTATCAGTATACAGATCAGTTGTTTGGAATTAGAAAAGAGAATGTTATTATGTGAGTGGCTAGCTTAAGATCATAATAATATTGTGTGTTTTATTTTTAAATCATATTCATTTTTAAGTATGTCTCTCAGTGTGTGAGAGTGGAGTGCTCTCAGAGGCCAGGAGAGGGCATCACACTCCCAGGACTAGAGTTACAGACTGTTGTGAGCTGCCATGCAGGTACTGGGAATTGAATCCAGGTCCTCTGCAAGAACACCAATGCTCTTAACTGTTGGGTCATCTTTACAACTCCAGCTTTCTAGTCTAAAGTCTATGCTATAAAGGTTGGTTAAGTTGTATATAGCAACCATGTTAAATTTTTAACTTCTTAATTTTTATTTTTTTAGTATTATTGATGGTACTTATTGATTTATGCTCTAGGAGAATATCTCATGATATTTAATGCATATCATAATTATGATTAATCTTAAATAAAAGTCAAGTGAGTTTTTAATCCTTTCATAAAACTTTTAACACAAAAGATTGCCTTCTCCAAAGCATACCACTACTTATATATAAATGTTTCATTTTCATCATTTGCCTCAAATTATTTATAGAAATAGATAGGCCTGTTTAAAGATGATGTGTCCATATCATTTCCATTTCTGTACAGAATTTGGAAACCAAGCAAACAGTTATTTAAGCTATGTTTCATTATATTTATGTTAACCATTTAAGCCTAGTAAGTTCAAGTATGTTTAAAGGGAAATTAAAGCATAGTATAAATTCTAATTGCAGACCTCCCTCCTCTCCTCTTGAGATTGTCCATTATTTTTTAAAGGCATGTGTAAAGTTTGTTTTTCCCCTCCCCCTCAAAAAACTTAATATAAGTGAATGTGCTTCATTCTTCTTGACATGTGACTTATCTTCTGTTAATTAAGAAACTTTTTCTTGCAGATAATATTGTTTCAACCACCCATCTGGTAGGAAGAGGAATACAATGCATGTTATTATTTCTTCAGTTTTTCAGAACAAAGGTTTCCATGTGAACAAAACCCTGAGTTCATTTGTTAATTTCTTGCTATTTTCTTTGTTAGGTATTTCAGGGGCGGTTAGATTGTTTGGCTGTATCAACAATTCAAGCTTTGACAGCAGTAATGAAGAATTCTCCAGCTGCTAAGGTGAGAAATGGATTTTTAAGCTTTAAAATATGTTTATTATATTATTTTTTGCTGTGTGAATTCCAAAGTGATATGTGAAAGTGTGTTGTAGGAGATCTGCTTGTTTGTCCCAGCCGCCCAGCTAGCTTAGCTCCAAAATAACCACACAGAAACTGTATTAATTAAATCACGCTTGGCCCATTAGCTCTAACTTCTTATTTGCTAACTCTTACATCTTAGTTTAATGTATTTCTATTAATCTGTATGTCGCCACATGGCAGTGGCTACCAGCTAAGTTTTGGCAGCATGTCTTGCTCTGGCGGTGGATCCATTGCTTCTCTCTGACTCTGCCTCCTTTCCCTCAGCATTCAGTTCTGTCTTCCCTGCCTACCTAAATTCTGCACTATCAACAGTCCAAGGCAGTTTCTTTATTTACCAATGAAAGAAACACAACAGAAGGACCTCCTACACCTTACACCATTTCCCCTTTTCTATTTAAACAAAAAAGGAAGGCTGTAATTTTAACATAGCAAAACTACATATAACAGAATAGGTAGGTATCAAGCAACAATTACAGTTACAATATTTATATTTTATCTTTTATCATAACTAAGGAAAACTATATTATTACTATCTACTCTTCAACTCCATCAAAGACTCCAGAAGGATATAATAAATAGGAAGTACATTGTAAGCAACTTCCAAAACTCTTGAATTGATAGACCTCTAGCTGCTTGGACAGTCACCCAGAGTTCTTCTGTACTATTGGGGCATCCATCTTCAGCCTACAGGTTCATAGTATCCAGCAGACTTTTCCATGAAGCAGGAAATTTCAAAGACAGTTCAGTCACTGTCTTCTGTGTCCTGCAGAATGTCTGGCAGACTCTTTCATGAAGCAGGAACCCCAAAGGATCATCTCACCTTTAGGCAAGTTCAGCAGTCTCTGTGGCTACTGCATGTCCAGTGAAGAAGTCCAGGCAAGAGCAGTTTCTTTCCCAAATGGCTAGGGAGCCTCTTTGATGCCCATCTTCCTCTCAAAGTAATTGGTGCTGCCAGGAGCAGATGTGTCTCACTGTCATAAAAAGTCTTAAGTTCTTAAAACATTTTAAATGCCGTATTCTGAAGGTCTCTGAAAGATTTGAAGAAAACCTAACTGACATAACTACAATCTTGACTATTATAGGTGACTGTCTATTAACCTATATTTCTTAATGATACATTTTTTTTAAATGAGCTACACAACCACAAATTCTTAATCAAGAGCAGAAGTCTACATATAACAAAATTGACCTTAAATTTGTATCAATAAATCAAGATCCATACCAAAGCAAATTATTCATCTCTGTATCAAAAGTGTATAAAAGCACATACATGACACCTGTCATGAAGTAGTTTACAAAAATAGCTCACCTTCTTATAATTTGCTGTTAAATTTATAGACAAACTCCTTATGGATACTGTAGGATTTTAAAAGCTATTGATGACTTTATATGGTAGCATATATCTTTAGTCCCAGCACTCAGATGGCACCTGCCTGTTATACATAGCCAGTTCCAGGTTAACCACGGCTCTGCAGTGAAATTGTCTCAAAAAAACAAAAAACAAACAAAACCCACCAAAAAAATTATATTGATGAAGGAGCTACACACTAATAACTATTTACAGCCTTGGTTAAAAGAGGGTCATATTGTCTGGATTTAGAGGGGGTCTTACTGCTGGTGTTGAGAGGGTATAGTATGGTTATTGAGCTTAAATAATTGTTTCCCAACATAGCTTTTTATTAATAAAATAATCATATTTGCTATTTAGTTTATAACTATCCATAATATGAGTATTTTTCACATGTGGTTACCTTGCCAATATGGAACTTGTTTTCCCAATATGTGTGGCTATAGAGTTCTGTTTCATTTCTTGTGATTATTAACCTAGGTTTTATGTTTGTTCTTTCTCTCTAAGATTTATTAATTTTTATGTGCATTGGTGTTTTGTCTGCATATATATATGTGGGGGGGGTGTTAGATTCTCTGGACCTGAAGTTACAGACAGTTCTGAGCTGCCATGTGGGTTCTGGGAATGGAACCCTGGGTCCTCTGGAATTGCAGTTGGTACTCAAAATTGCGGAACTGTCCATCTAGCTCCTTATATCAGTTCTTACCCACTGTCCTGACTGTAGTTTCATCTGATTATGCTCATATACTGATAAGTAGCTCATTGAGTGGTTCTAAGTATTTTGAGTTATCTGTGTAACATACCAGACACATAGTTAATTATATAATGTGTGTTAGTGACATGATCATCACCCTACCTTCTGATCTCCACCCTGAAGTACTGTATTCTCTTCTTTTCTGCTCTCAGCAATGTTCCTTGAAATATTATAGTCCTTGTTAAGTTTATTTCGGACTTTATAGTCTGATTTCTGATTTTACTTGTTATTTAATTTAAGGGTCTTATTGTTTTAAGGGAAATCACTTTAAGTACTTACAGGTTCACTTATTAGTAAAACCAATTGATATTATTGTTCTGAAATTCAAATCTTCAAGGCTGTCATTTTAAAGGTGAGTGTTTTGCTTGTTTGTTTGTTTTATTGTAATACTTTCATGGTTTAACATTTTAAAGATTATGTAACAGGATGGGCTCTAGCTCAGTGCTAGAGTATATACTTAATATGCTTAGGGTCCACACCTTCCCTCCTAAGTAAGAGGCTTTATGACAAAGTTGCCCTTAATACATTGTTGAAGGATGCGGGTCAAGGAATCCCAGGCTAACTTCATGATATACCAATTATATTTTTCTTTACTATAATGGGCAAACTCATGAAACGGGAACAAAAGTCTAACCTTAGCTGTGTTATGTGGGAAACACAGAGAGAGACAGAGATCCCTGAGCGGGCTTGCAGTTTTCTCCAGCTACTCTAAATTTCATGCCCTAACCTGGTCCAACCTTTTAAAGATTCTTCATCACCTCCCCATTTTGTCTAAATAAGAGTATTCCAAACCCAATACAAATTATATACAATAGGAACAGATATCAATTATAAAATTGTGCTCACAACCCGCATAAACAATATTAAACAAGGAACACATGACAAATGTTTTAATGAACATTCTATCCTCAAGAGTCTAAGTCTTGCATTGGAAATGGTTTGGCTAAATCATAAGAGGAAGATAACTACTACTATCTAATCTTCATTACCCCCTAGAAGGCCTCAGAAGGGTGATAATATTACTTGAATATGCAGGATGTGCAATCAAGCAGCTTCCAAAATGTACAGTATATGATAGAGGCAACTGGCTACCTGAGCAATCACTCAAAGTCGCATTTGCAATGTTGAAGCAACCAACTCTAGCCAAGGTCTAGTTTAACTGACAGACCATTTTCAGAGTCAGGAAAATTTTTAGAACCATCTTATCCTATTTTGGCAAGGTTTGGCAGTCTTTTTCTTGTGTACTGCTATACACCATGTACTTTGTCAGTGGTCAATGAATGGGCAGTTCCTTGACCAAAGGCCAATTGTGCCAAGAAGAAAACAAGCTCCAAGTGGCATGTCTTTGCTGTTTAACATTATCTTGGGAGTAGATCAGTATTGTCAGGAGCAATCGTGTCTCATGTCAATGGAACCCTAAGTTATTTAAATGCCATGTTCTACAGATCCTTGAAGTGGTTGAAGATTACCTATCTATGCACACTATAATCTCTATGTATCTAAAGAACCTGATTAATCTGACTATATGTATATCAAACTTGAATAACTATTGACCTATTATTATACTTAATACCTGTATAACTTAAAGACTAAGACTTTATATCAGAATGTTAAACAATATTTAAACAACTTTGCAGTAAAGGAGGACAATGACCTCAAAATGTAAACAATGTATAAGTATCTTGATCAGAGGTAGGAATATTTATTGTAATATGATGAATATATACTAAAATTGTATCAATATACAAAATGTCTTAAGATGGTAGAAACATGTATGCATACTGTGGCGCGCTGCTTGACCAGCAAGCAATAACGACCCTGAAATCGAGGATTCTTCCCAAATCACACTTTATTGGAGCCTCTCGGTTGAAGGGATAGCATGGAGCGAGAGAGGGAGAGAGAGAGGAAGAAAGAGAGAGGAAGCGAGAATGGGGAAGAAGCGAGAGAGGGAGAAAAGGCGAGAGAGGGAGAAAAAAACCAAGCTGCAGCTGCTTTTCTAGGTTGGAGGGCCTTGGATACTGTCCTGATTGGTAAATACCATTCTGCTGGAGCTCGGGGCTTCGGGATTGGCTAGGGACAAGGCTCAGTTGTGCAAATGCAGGCAACTTCAAAAGGATTTGTTTACCTCCAAGCTGCAGGACCGCCAGCGCCATAATGGTGATGTCCTGATGGCTCCTTACAGCATACAATCTGATAAAATAACTTTTCATAGGTGTACAAATATTGTAAACAAAAATAGCAAATATAATTTGAACTGTATTAGTATATAACAAACTATACAAATGTAAACTGTCCATAAATAATAGCTCACAAGTTTTTACTTTATTACTCACTATGATTATTATTAGTATGAATAACTTCATACTAAATTACCTGTTATCTCATTCAAGTTTTTCTCTTTTTTCTCTTTAGATTATTGTCTAGTATAATTGCAAATGATTTCTGAGTAATTGATAGGGTTTTCAAAGTTTTTCTTTGAAGTTCTGACCAGAATGTTGTGAGAAGGTGCACCATTTTAGCAACTAGTACCCAAAAAAACCGATCTTTATTTTAGCGCTGTCAGCATCATGATTTTATCTTAACCAGGTGGAGTCATTGCTGTGGGGCCACATCTTTTTCCTGGAAACTTTAAAGATTATTGGAGGAAAGGGATCTGTAGAAAAATCTAATGTTTCTTGTGGAAAACTTAAACATTATTTATAAAGATATATATTCAATAAAAATGCAATATAGACAAAATAGGCATGGAGAAAGAAAAATTTCCTATTTTGTAACCTAAGTAATTAACAGAATCTCCCCTTTAAATCTTTTTAGGAGC